TAGGTGGAAGAGCAGGGGGCGAAAAAGAAAGTAAAAAAAGGGGAAGAGATAGAATAGGAGGAGGTAGAGAGAGTGCTGAAAAAAGGTAAAAGACGGGAGAGGACAAGATAGGAAATAAAGTGTGAATTTATGTGGAAAGTGGTTTAAGTAAGGAGTTATGGGAAATATGCAGGAGAGTATGGAAAGGAGAGGGTTTCCCAGAGGCGTGGAAAGACGGAGTAGTGATTCCAATAGCGAAAAAGAGATGGGCAAAAGAGGTGAGTGAGCATAAAGGGATTACGCTGATGCCGACGGCGTACAAAGTGTATACTTCGGTATTAGCAAATAGGTTGAGGGAAGAGATGGAGAAGAAAAGAATGATACCAGGAAGTCAGGCAGGGTTTAAAAAGGGGAGAGAAGTGGTGGACAACGTTTACATACTGAATTATGCGATAGGGAAGCGATTAAAGAGGAAAAAGAAGGTGGTGGCTGCTTTTGTAGATCTAAGGGCGGCATTTGATTCAGGAGGGTTTTGGGAAGATGTCCGAAAAAATCAGGAGTGAATGAGAGGTTGAGAAAGAGGATCATGGAAATATACGAGAAAACAAGAAATGTAGTGAGGGTGGAGGAAAAATACGGAAAGAAATTTTGAGTCCAATGCTGTTCAATTTACTGGTAGCGGACATAGAGATAAAGCTGGGAAGAGATAGAATGGGAGGGGTACAAGTAGGAGGAGAAAATTAAGGGTACTAGGGGAGAGTTTCTCCGTAGCCCTCGGCGGGGAAACAGGTGGATAAGTGGTAGGAGAGTGAAAGGAGATGAGGGGAGAGATTGAGAGGTGAGGAAAGTGTTGATGGAAGGGGGTAGATAGGGGAGTGTGAAAGGAAGACGGGAGAATGGAGGTGAAGCGGAAGGTGGTCTGGAGGAAACGGGAAACGTTGGTGAAGAAACACGTGGAAAGTGAGGTTAGGGAGAAGGGCGGGATTGAAGGAACGGAGGTAGCAGCCCAGGTTACACGACGAGGGAGCTGAGCGAGTTGGTAGCAGGGAGTAGCAATCGGGCGATCGATCGACCTGTCGAGACAGAGGGTTTGTCGATGGTGGCGCGGTAGGTGCGGAACGGAGCAGGGAGTTGTCTCAACAGATCGATGGATCAAACGATTGAAGGGGCCGGACAGATAGATAGGTGATGGAAGGAGAAGGAGAGAAGGCGACGGAGAAGTGGAACGAGGAAGGAGAAGAGGCGTGCGTGAGCTGAACTTTGGTGGCAAGGAGAAAGGAGGGGAGTGGGAAGGGGAAAGATGGACGAAGATAAAGCGATGGAGGCGAGGGTATGGATATGGATACGGACGAGGACGAGAGCCATAGGAAGAAAGGAGAGTAAGAGGGAGGAAGGATGGAAAGGAGAAAGAAGGAATTAAGGAGGAACGTGATTATAAGGGTTGAGAAGGAGAAATGGGGAGGTAAGGAGTCAAATTAGGAGAAGACGAGGACAGGTCGGTGGAGGCGAGGGACAAAGAGAGAAGGCAGAGGGAGGGGAGATTAGAAAAAAGGATGGTGGAAAGCAGAAACGAGGAGCGGGCGGAAGAGGACGAACTAACGAGAGTGATGGAGGAGAAACTTCTGATGACTTCAGACGAGGAGAAGGAGGACAAGAGGAAGGGGCTGTAGGACGAAGGGGGCGAGGCGAGACAGGAAGGATCGAGGCAGAGCGACGAAGACTCCGAGGAAGCAGAAAAAATAAGAAGGGGTGGAGGGGAAACGGGGAGGGAGAATAAAAGAAAAATGTAAGGTCGCAAATGGCCAGGATGAAGGGGTTGTTTTGCTTTTTAAAGAGGTTTAGGTAAGTTCCTCAGACAAAAACGCCTTGTAAACCCTACGGGGATAGACAATAAACCAATACAACTAAGGGTACTAGGGCATGCGCGGACGATGTAGTGATTCTAGCAGAGGATGAGGAGGGAATAAAATGGTTGTTGAAGAGGTTAAAGAGGTATTTAGAGAGGAAGGGATTGGAATTGAATGTGGACAAGACAAAGGTAGTAAGATTTGGGAAAAGAGGTGGAGGCGGAAGAAAGGAGAAATGGTAGTAAAAAGGTAAGAAATTAGAATAGGTGAGAGAGTTTAAATATCTAGGATACTGGTTCAATTAAAATGGGGGGCAGGAGTTGAAGGTGAGGGAAAGGGTAAAAAAGGCAATTGGGGTAATGGGACAGGTATAAGGAATAGGAAAAAGAAGGTTTGGCGGAGACTGAAAAAGGAGAATGAAGTTGTTCGATTATTTGATAAGAAGTGTTTTAAGCTTCGGGTCAGAGGTGTGGGGGTGGAAAGAATGGAGACAGGTAGAGAGGATGCAAGAAAAATGTATCAGATGGGTACTAGGGCTGGATGGGAGGACGCCAGGTTACATGGTGAAAGAAAAGGGGAAGAGGGACAAGTTGAGGACAAGGATGGGAAAAAGAGCACTGGGATATGAGGAGAAACTGGAGGGAGGAGGGGGAAGTGAGTGGGCAAGGAGATGTTGGAAAGAGATAAAAGAAATAGAAGATAGGGAAGGATCTAAATGGGAGGAACAAAGGAAGGAATTTTATAGAAAGAGAGGAGTCTCGGTGGAGTGGGTGAAGAGGCAGAGGGAGGAGAATCGAGAGGTTAGAGGAGAAGTGGAGGAAAGAGACAGAGAGGTACAGCAGCAGAAGAGATATGAGAGGATAAGTAAGTCCAGATGGAACAGATAGTACAGAATAGTGGGAACAATAAGGTTACCGAGGTACTTAAAGGAAAGGGAAAGAGAGGAAAGAATGACTAGAGTCGCGAAGTTCAGGTTGGGTAATGAGATGAGAAAGGGTAGGTATAGAGATCCTCTAATAAGAGTCTGGCCACAACTGGATGATCGCCATTTATGCGTGGAATCACACGAGTGAAAAAGCAATATGCTCACCGTCTCACTCGGTTGACGCATGCGCACACTTAACCTACCTCTTTGTGACGTACCACTTCATGAATAGCTGTATTTTAACATTACAAATCTTTTTTTAAAATAATTATTATCAAAAAATACCAAATAATTTATACGTGGTCTGATTAAACGTATTTTTGTCGACTTCGATCTTCTAAGATCATAACCTTTGTATAAACTTTCATTAATAAATAATAAAAAATTAATAATTCCATCCATGTTAACTATATGTTTACTACCATGTTTACTACTACTACACCATGTTAACTATATGTTTTTGAGAGAGATATATATTTTAATTTATATCACAGTATAGAGTATATATCACGCATCAACATACATATAATGACACATTATGTATATTTTCACATCGAGAAATGTTTTATGCGCTTCTGTGATGTCTACCCAGATAGCAACGTGTCTGCATTGTTGCTGGCATGTTGCCAACAACATAGTATGTGTTGCTACCAGAATTGTGGCAACTGAGTCCGCATTTGTCAGCAAGTTGATGTCTTTACGATATAACAATTTTGTATGGCAACTTGTTAGCAACTTATGCTGCGGTCTAAAATTGTCTGATTCAAAATTCGAGCTGTTGCTGTAATAATTCATAAGATCACAATGCTGTCATATTGCTAGCAACGCGAAGTAAATTTAATGCTGCTCTTTTGCCGATAAATTGCTGGCAATACATATATCCAATGTTGCCTGTGTTGCTTCAAATATTAAATTACTCAAAAACAATTGAAGCAAATATACGGCAAGTTGCTAGCATCATAAGCAATCACAGGTTTACGCAATTTTGCTCAGACACGCTTGGCTATCTGAGTATATTTCACAAAATAGAAATGAAATCCCTAAACGATTTCGACGAGCACATAATATCGTGAAAAACACGTTGTCTGATTCACCCGATTCGATTTATATAAATGATAAAACGAAATTAACTGATGTGTTTAATGAAACACATCAAACTCGAACTGGTCGATTTCTTCATCATGTCATTTTAAACCGTGGTGGTCGGTTATACATTTGTCTAAAGAGACATGGCGCAACATTTCTATATGCGAAACACGATCTGTAGAAAGTATACAACATTAAACCCTGAATGAACAAATATTATTTATAATGAAATATGGAAACAACTAAAATTATATCATGTTACCATGCCTTCAAATCTGAGAAAATCAACCATATTCCAGGCGAAATATATCTAAAAATAAAAGGAAAATGTGCAAAATGTGGTACACATTTTAATATGTATAGTATCCATGTTTCAAGAGATGAAAACTCGTATGTAGATTCATATTTCTACATATGATACGAGGGAAATTACTCATTATAAAAAGCGACAATACGTATAATATTGAAAGAAGTCGTGTAGTCAAAGATTTACATGTAATGTAGTCAGCATATGGCTGGAGGAAAAAGAGGGCAAACAAAATAAATGATATTTGGCGATATAGAGCTAGCGCATTTGTACAGCGAATCTGTATTGCGCAAAACAAATCAATTTACTTAGACGCTAAAAAAAATAGACCTTGGCAATACGTCTAATCCAACTGCATCAGTTTTGCAATTAAAATATAAGCCAGAGTTTTCTGGAATCATACGAAATAGGATTAGACAAATTTTTTGTTATTTATTTCAATCCGAACAGTTATTTTTATATCAAAGTAATAAACAAACAGAGAGAACGGGCATGCTAAAATATAGCAATGGGATCTCTGATAAAAAATATTAAAAAACTTGACGACTCTACATATTACTTATTTTTATATCAAACAGTCGATCGTTCCATTTAAAACGAAAATTTGACCTGTGTTGCAAATTGTGATAATTATGCAGTACAGGGAACTACCCTCCGATGATTTTGACCTTGACATATGTTGTCAAGATAGGTGTATGAAAGCGCGCAAGTCGCAATTGTATAGAAGTTTCAATTGCACTCGCCAGACGATTCGCCGGAACGGCCCAGCGCTGAGCCCGGAATGCGCGTGACGCGATTATGACAATCGCCAGAGGATCGGAGTAGGCACTCACAAAATAAAGATCAGAATTCGACAAACTTGTCAAACAGCACTATTTATTATGCTCACAAATAAAGTATCTTTCGCGTTAGAGTTTATATAGTCTTGATTCGAGCGAACGGTCACCTTGACGCGTGACGTCACTCGCGGCGTGGAGTCACACTTGACTCGCGGGCAAGCCGTCGGTTACTCCGAATGACTTTGCTCGGTTTTCCGCAGGAGTAATAACGGTGATTGAATCCCGTGTGTCTCAATGCAACACAGGCGGAGATGTAGGACAGCGTTATGATCTGCTAGTAATGCATGCCGGAGAAACACCGCGCGATCACCACTTTTCGGGATTCGCGGAGACGACGAGCTTGCCCGACAATTTCGGTACGCCGACTGAATACGCGTCGCGCTGCTCCGAACGGTAACGCGTTCGCCTGATCGTCGCTGGTTGTACGAAAAACAAGTTAAGGACCGCCCATCACGGCAACCGAACAATAGGGCCATGCGACGATCACGCGAGAAGCAAGCTTCTCGAAGCTTTGTTTGCGCGACGAAACGAAAAACAAATAAACGATCGAGCTCGTTCTCGAACAATAGGTAACCCTTCTGAGTGACTTTCAGAAGGTTTAGCCCTCGGTCATTGTTTGTTAAAAAGTTATCAACGAAAAAGTTTGAGAAATTTGCCAGTTTGGGTCAGTGCTAAAGAAAGTAATTTGCAGGTATGTGTCTATACACAACACATGTAGGCGGGGGAGGGACTACCGCCTCTCCACCGCAGGCAGGGGTGGGTGGAGGTGGACCTGGGTTTGCGTGGAAAGTTAAAAACCCGTTTTTTCTTTTTTCCTCGCTTTGTGTGGAAACGCTTGTGTGGAAACATCTGTAACAGAAACAATTTGTTAAACCAGAGAATAGTTAGTAGGTATATTGAAAAGTATATGTACAATTTTATTATTTACAAAGTATAAATACAAAGTAGTCTCTGGTTTACCCGAACCTAATTTTCCCCGCGAACCGAGATCTACCCCCCATCCACCCCCGCCTACATGTGTACCGTCTATACACCCATAAATTACTCGTTTGATTTGTAAAAGAAAAATTGTTTTAATTGTATATAATTAATATATGTAAAACTGTGGATGAAATAACAGTTTTATAAGGTATTATAATGTACTTTAAGGGAAGTTTATACACGCAATGATTAGTGGCGCCAACTGACTGGCATTCATTGGCGCTAGAAACCGATTGGAAAACTCACAAGTGTTTACACAGTGATGTTATTGAACTATTTGACGTATAATATGTGTTCGCGAAATCGCTGATTAATCCCGGCGATGGAAGCGGGATGAGAAGGACGCGCGTGGAAGGTGTTAACTAAATATTTACTTTATTTTGTGTAACTCAGACCACAGTCTGAGCCGTTTTTAATGCGTCTTTAATGCGTCGAAATTGATACAATCTGACCTGAGAATCGATGAGCGGTGTATAAATGAGGTGTATATAGTCCGTGTAAATGAGAGGCAATTATATTGATTGCCGTCCTCTTCGATGAATTGCCCGTGAGCCGGTGAGACACGTGGCGGTCGGCACTCGCGCACATGTGAGCCTGAGTCGTCGTGTTGATGTACCCGAATAGAGCTGGATGAGCGGTCGCTTTACATGTTAAGGCAGTATCTCGGCAGCTGTTGCAATCACTGCGGTGAGCACTTCAATGTGTAGTCACAATCGAAAATGCACAGAGCACACGTCGTGCGTCTGATCACTGCGCGGCCATTTTTACGACTCTGAATATCGCGAGGAAGACGTTGGCGATGAGCGCGCCCGTGCGCGGCGCAAGCTGCCGCGGTGATCTAGCGTCGTTACCCGATCGATGCTGCCATCTGATCTGGCGGCGCAGCGTTAACGGAATCTCGAACAATATAGAAAATACTTAACATTTATTAATTAAACACACAGTAAATGACAGCAAGCATATAACCTCAAATTTTGAGGTTACATGCTTTGATCAATAACCGCTAGTAAACGCCTCATTACTAGCGCCAGCTTATATCAAGTGTTTACACTTGCGCGCATTTTTACTAGCGCTAATCGATTGGCGCCATTAATCATTGCGTGTGAAAACTTCCCTTTACTAATACAGCATTAAGTGTCTAGACATTGGGCACATGCTGTAATTTAATCTTTAAATTAAAAATTATAGCACACACACACACACACACACACACACACACACACACACACGCATAAGCGCGCGCGAGAGAGTGCAAGGGGGGGCCTTCTGCCCCCCTCCGCCGGTAGGCAGGCTGGACCTCGCTTTACAACTTAGTACTTTGTAAGTTGTGAAACGAGGTTCTAACCCTGGGTCCTGTGAACTTGGCACACCATACCTAAAAATCTAAAAGTTTTTTTAGAGTTCTGACTTTTTTTCGAATAGTTCTAGAGTTTTAGATAAGCATTTTAAATAGTTCCGGATGATTAATTACAAAAAAAATCGAATTTGAAAATATGATGCGCTAAGTTCACGCAGCGCACCAAATCGTGAAACTCAATTATTTCTTCGGAGTTCTAGTTTGTTTTACAATAGTTCTACAGTTCTGTATCAAATATATCAATGCCAATGCCCAAACTGTAACACCTATCTAAGAAAGGTAACAGTTCCGACCGGATCGTATTTTTGCGACTTTTCCACGTAGTTTTGCAAAAAATTTTAATCACTTTCTAGTAATGCAATTATTTTCAAGATAAAAACCATATTTAACACATAAGAAGAAATTTTTATTTAAGAAAACCTTTTTTACACGTTCTAGCCGATCTGATAAGAGTTCTCCGTAGTGTTCCCAAAATTCTACTAAAAAGTTATATAAATTTTGTCTGTAAAATAATTATTTTTCAAGTTTTTGCCGTTTTTTAACATTTAAAAATCAACTTTTCGACAATTTTTGACAATTCTGTGAGTTCTATTATAATTTTCCTACAGTTCTGAACGTGTCCTAACGTTCTCCGAGGAGTTCTGGCGATAAGCATTATTTCGTTATTTTTTAAATAATTAAATAATTATTTAAATAGTTACGAATCAAATTTTATTTGTTAATTATACCAGCTTTAAATCACGAATCAAATTTTAATTATGAATTAAAGCCTGTGTAATTCACAAATCAAAATTGATTTGTGAATTAAAGATTAGTATAATTAATAATTTAAAATTGATTTATGATTTATTCGTGAAAATTTAAATTAAAATTTGACTTAATTATTTGCAACCCTGAGCGATGGAACGGTATAGCCCGGGAGGTAAAGGCCAAAATTGGACATGATGTTATTAAACTTGATAAGCCATTTTTTCTCTTATTACCTGCAGGTTTAGTAAAGTGATTCCTGAGGGTCACTTTTCATTACATGTTTAGAGGGTCGCCAGACTCATGCCGTCCCGGCTGACAGCCGCCAGACTCTGTCAATATTGTTTTTGATTAACTAAACATTGTACATAAAAAGTCTCAGCTTTAATAAAATCATTCCAATGTGTTCATTTTTATGACAAGGTCGACGGCGTCCCGACGCCCGACGCCCGTCGTCCCGGAAGAGGCCGCAGCCAGACTCTGCATTTCGTCATTTTCAGCACTAAAATAAGAGAAAAAAATGGCTTTCCAAGTTTAATAACATCACTGACCGATTTTGGCCTCTACCTCCCGGGCTCTTACAAGAGTTTCCCTGAAGCATTTCAAGGTGTTCAGCAGTAGATGTTTCGTACATGTTCCAGCGGAAAGAAGAAAGAAACTTGATCAGACTGTAACAGAGATGATTTTCATGGTGTACGACGACGAGTCAAAAGCATTTCGTTTTTTTTATCCTGTCACGAAAAAGTAAGTAATCAGTCGTGATGTCAAGTTTGATCAAATAAATTCAAATAAAACAGTTCAGCAAGATGTGGACATAAATTTAGAATCATCAGTAAAGGAAGTACGGCGATGAAGCGAATGATACCAGCGTTCAGGAGGAGTAAGTTCATCAAGTCGAAGCACAATCAGTAAAAATAACAGAAACTCCACGTGTCTCACAAAGAACAACGAAAGGAAAACCACCAAAACGTCTGATTGATGAAATGCTTGTAGCAAAGCAAGAGATTAAAGAGTCAAAAACTCATCAATCACATGCAGAGAAAAGGACGAATGGATTAAAGCTATGTACGAAGAGATACAATTACATGAAAGGAACGGTACATGGCAGTTGACAGACCTACCAGATGACAGAAAAGTAATAGGGAGCAAGTGGGTGTATAAGGTAAAAACAAATACCGATGGAAGCATCTAGCGCTTCAAGACAAGAGTTGTAGCTCAAGGCTTCTCCCAGAAATTTGGAACCGACTACAATAAAGTTTTCGCACCAGTGGTTCGACAATCTACATTTAGGACTCTGTTATCAGTGGCAAAGAAGATACTAATGGTTTAACACTTGGACGCAAAGACGGCATTTCTAAATGGAAGGCTTAATGAAACTATTTTTATGAAGCAGCCTCCAGGCTTTAATAAGAACAATCTAAATCAGGTATGTCTACCGAAGAAAAGTATTTATGCATGGTCTCAAGCAGGCAGCAAGAGCTTGGAATGAGACAATTTATGAAATATTGATCGAAGCGGGTTTTATACAAAGTAAAGCTGATCTGTACCTGTTTAAAAATAACCGCGTAAAGTACAATCGCAAGGAAAGGTAGAGAGCAATAAAAAACAAACGGCGCTTGTCGTTGTCAAGGGCGCACTTCCGACTTCTGATTTTCTCAACGAAGAAGACTAAGCGACGATCGTCTCTCGGTGCGTCGTTTTCGGCCATTCAGTCTTTACAGTTCGAGCTAGCAACACGTTTTGATTAACGTGCTTTTACGTTTTGTAACATTGTGTTAACAGTTTAGATTGAGTGATTTCATTGTAAAGAGTCGTGTTAACTGCTTTGCGTGCGCTCTCAAATCATCTATTCTTTATTGTGAACGGCGAATTCCAACGAGAGTTGACGAAAAGAGATTTCCATCGCATAACGACTACGGATCGTTCCGGCCATTTTGTGAGCTCCTCCATACAACGAAGGAGCACCCTCGCCAGCCGTCCATAGGAATAATTGAGAGAAAGGAATGATGCCGACACGACATCATTCAGCCAGCTCCTAGTGCCGACGCCAGGAACCACGAGAGATCTTCTCTCTGCCTGTTCGGTTCGACGAACCGTTCATCCTGAACACAGATATTTAGTAGTGTTTCAATGAAACCCGAGAAGAGTTTGTGATGTAACTCTCTTGGTTTCAGAAACATCACTCAATCGATCAAGATTCGAGCCAATTCCATGCAAGACGTTAATATAGAAAGATTTTGTAAGAACAAGACGTTCTCTTAATTTTAATTTACACTAACTAAAATAAGACGTTCTTTTTATTGTAATCTATGTTAAGTAAAATCATTCAGTTACTTTAATTATAATTTACAATAACTTAACAAACGTTTGTCATTGCTCAATTTAAGGAAATCTTCACTGTAATTTATTCCATCAGAATTTCAGTTAACATCTGTTTAACGCATCTAACCAAAGCATTGTTAAATTCCGTTGATATTTGTGTAATTAATCAAAAGAGATTAATTAGAATACTTAGAGATTGTTTGCGTGATATTTGATATATTGTGCGTGCTCTGATGTGATATTTAACATATTGTGCATGTTCTGATGTGATATTGGACATATTGTGCATGCTCTGACGTGATATTTAACATATTGTACATGTTCTGACGTGATATTTGATATATTATGCATGCTCTGTTGTGATAATTGCATAATTTTCATGCCTTGATATGTTTATATATGTTTAGATATATTCTGATAAACTAAATTAATATTTTGTACATGCTTCTTCAAACAGAACACAAAGATAATAGTTCATTTCTTATAAATACAATTTAATTCTAGTTCACATGGTCCTTCGAGTTCATGCTTAATTAAAGATTACCATTTTCTTCAAATTCAAGTCATTTATAATTTAATAGCTTACATTATTCAATAACACTCCATTTCGTTGATTTATTCTTTTATAGTTTAATGTAATTAACAACTTAAAGATAAACAAGAACTTCACCTTCTTCTTATCAAAATATATCTGTTTGAATTTATTTATGATATACATATATTTAATTATGTATAGTTTTAAACGTTGATAACTCATGCTGCATTTTACTCACTCATTTATAAAAAGAGTGTTCGAACAATTATAAACGAATTATTGATCTCAATTGGTATTGCTCTTTCCCTTTCTCGTACAGTTCAATACAGAGCCTTTTAACAGTACCTGTATTCAAAAAAAATAGAAAACGATTGGTGCTATATACATACTCATTTGCGTCGACGATGTTGTGGTGGCGTGTAAGTTAAGAGATCAAATAAAGACAATTGAGAGAATTTTTTCAGCAAAGTTTGAGATGCAAAACCTCGGAAAAATAAAACAATATCTTGGCATTAAGGTGGACACAAGACGAAGGTGGAAATTTCGAGCTTTATCAATCAGAATATATTGAGAGGATTGCATCAAGTTTTGGTTTACAAAACGCAAAAGGAGCGAACACACCGTTGGACGTCGGGTATTACAAGTCATCAACAGAATCAGATCAAATGCGTAACAACGGCCATTACAAAAACTAATTGGATGCCTATTGTATGTGTCAGTAAATTCATGACCAGATATCACGGCAAGTGTTAGCATTCTTGCGCAAAAGATTTCAAAAGAATATTAGAACAATTAAAACGCGTCGTCAAGTATCTAAAAGGCACATCAAAATTAAAATTGAATAATACAGCAAGTGACGAGAATGAATTAATCGGCGATGTAGACGCAAATTGGAAAGATCGTAGTACACAAAAGTCAAATAGTGGCAGCGCATTTTTTTACAATGGAGGTTTTTCAGCTGGTCATGTCGCAAGCAGGCATGCGTATCATTATCTTCAACAGAAGCAGAGTTTGTTGCACTTTCTGATACTTTGTCAAAAGGCATTTTTGGCTACAAAAATTTTTGAAGAATATGCATCAGAACATTGACTTTTCAACAACGATTCATGAAGACAACCAGAGCTGTTTGAAATTGGTGCAAAAAAGAAAGATTTTCAAATAGGACCAAGCACATTGATACGAAATTCCATTTCATTAGGTATTATCTACATCGACAAGAAAATTATTCAATGTAAAGATTGTCCGACTAAAGAGATGATCGTGGATTTGTTCACAAAACCATTAATTGTCAGTAAGAAAGTGTAACATTGAATGATTGTTTAAACGAGGAGTGTTGGTAATATTGGATTTTTACGTTTAAACCCATATAACAATAAAGTATATAGATTCGAGTTATCTTTTGACAAATACAATCTGGTAATAATTTTAGTTCTTTTGGTTCATAGCGCTTTTGTTTACACTCGTCTCTCTCTCTCTCTCTCTCTCTCTCTCTCTCTCTCTCTTCCTCCCCCTCCCTCCCTCCTTCCTTTTGTCTGTTCTTCTCACGAAATACTTTTTGTAACTGAGTTAGCTGAATAAAAAGCTGTATAATATATTCGACGTGTAGTTTAATGATTGCTATTGCTAACCTGAAGAGTGTTTAATAAAGGTACGACGGATCTGGCATTAAATTCTACAGAACCCTCCTTATTATAGTATATTATTTGAAAGGGAGTGGAATAAGAAAAATTTTGGCGCAAACATTTTCCTTTATGTCCTTTCAAACGATATACTACAATATAAGAGGTTTCACTTAAAATTTTCAGCGCCCCAGAAGACACCAACTAAAAAATTTTAAATGGAACCCCTCATATTGTGTATTATATTGTTTGAAACGGCATAAAAGAAAAAAATTTCTGACGCAAACCAGAGGTCGATACGTTAACCCGTTCGGGAGTTATTTAAGGTCAAATTTCGAAAAAGCCAATTTTTGACCTTAAATAACTCCCAGACAGGTCAACGTATCGACCTCTGGTTTGCGCCAGAATTTTTCTTATTTTATGCCCTTTTAAACAATATACTATAATATATGAGGTTTTATTTTAAAAATTGAAGGTGACATTCGCGTGACCTTCAAACAACCATTCAAGATCAAATCATTGCTATCATTTTATTTCCCTCTTGCAACTAAAGTGTCCGAGCGTTTTTCGAATAAATTTGGTAAAATTCCAAAAAACACGCTTATTTTTTTGTTTTTAGTGGCCCACCAGTTCTAAAAATTAGAAAAAGATAAAAAAACAAGTTAAACAGAGTAAAATTAATCTGTTTGATAGAAGTGAGCATTAGTATTATAAGATATCCTATATGCTTCTTACCTGAAATGCATCATTCGTACAGAAGATCATAAGATGTACATAAGTGTTTCGGCGGAAAATACATCCGCTTGGACCTGCAGGCGAACAGGTCTCTTCGTCCTCCCAGGATCCACGCACTTTCGTATTTCTAACAATATATCCTCTATCCAATCGTGGATTGAAATGCAGAGCAATGTTTCCAGCTGCTTTGCATATTAAATTTACCGAAAACCTGTCATGTGATTATATGAGTTAAAATGAGTTCACGTTGCTTTTAGTCATAAGATTACGAAGAAAAACTTGATGAATACAATTATTTTAAGAACTATTTTTTAAAAATAGTTTCGAAGCACAATTTAATATAAAAAGTAAATAATTAATAGTTATATCTTGTATTCCTTATGTGTTCTTTATGTTAATAAGATTTTGGCTGCAGATGTTTTGTTATGTAATAATTTTGAGAAAAAACTTCACCCATTTTCATAAGAATTTTGGGCTAGTCATCAATCATATATAATTTGGTAAATAATAATAGTAGTATTAAAAAAAATGGTTTTAGATTCTCAAACTTCCGCCGAAAGCAGCTCTGATTTCCTAATGATATCATTTTATTCGTTTGATGACAAACAAATGTTGAATATCATTAATTTTACTAATTCATTATATTCCCACACAGCAAAATATATCTGAGATATAACCAGATATCTTTATGCCTACAATTTCAAGTTAAATGTAAGATATCTTATTTTCAGATATTCACAGAATATCTGCAAGACATCATTACTCAATATCACATTATATCTTTGAAAAAGACATTTCTGCAACATTTGCATTCGAATATATGGCCGATTCACGGTTAGCTCTTATATATATTTTATAAAGATTAACTCAAGTTTATTCGTAGCCAATAAAACAATCCGAGAGGACTTGGACGCCATACGGATTCGTCCCAACGAAAGCCACACGCCGCGAGGGAATTTAAAAAACTTTTGCTGGGGCTGCGCCGGAAGTAACAACCGCGACGCGAAAGCAACATGCCGCGAGGGGACTTAAAAAATTTAGGCGAGCGCTAGTAACATGCACTGCCGCGACGCGGCTATATGCGCCAGTACCTTCTCGTAAGCAAAAATCCTTACGCACTAGAATAAAAGGCGAACCTGTAAGAACTTGGCTAATATTTTTCGTGATATCTCCGAGATATCATACAGTGCAGAAATGGCAAAATGCAAAATATTGGATTAGTATCGAAACATAATTTTAAATTTATTGCGAATTTTTATGTAGAAAAACTTCTTTTACATCTGAAAAAGGATTCAGAATTTCAGAATTGGTGACATAAAAATGAATTTCTTTTGAACTCTTAAGAATCATTTTAGAACAGAGAAATAAATACAGAAAAAAAATTAATTTGATAAATCGAGAATTTAAAAAAAATTCTTCTTTATTTTTCTTGCTATTTGAGTTGTATATAACATATTTGCTTTTAAATGAGGGATAGATATCCAATATATATGCAGAATCAGATATTATATCTAAGTAAGATAAAATTATCATAGCTTTTTATAATCTTGGAGATGTCTCTGAGATATTTTCATGCTATCTTGCGCAATCAGATATTCCGTCATTCAGATATCGTCTAGATATCTTGGTGATATATTTTGCTGTGTGAGTTGTCATGGTAAAAAGAATTGGAATCAGTGATGTCTATGACAATGATACCAATAAAGTCCGTCCTGGGTGGAGAGAACATGAAACGGCGAATGTAAGGGAGATCGGGGCTTGTTGGCACAAGAGGCAAGTTGGCAATGCGTTCCGTTTATGTATTTATAGCGAAAGAAACAATTGAAAAGTTATCACAAGATATCTCTTTTATGATATACGTACTTTTCCCAAAGTTTTATATAAATCAAACAAGTATTACAATAGAAAAAGAGAAAACTCTAATACAAGAGGTGGCAAGTTTTCGAGCGTTTTAAAATATCATATTGTTACACGCCGACGAGCGTTCGCCACACAATTTCTCACTTTCACAC